CACCGCCGCCACCGCACCGGCCGCCACCCTCTCCGTGCAATCGAATTCCGTCCACGTTCTTCGCCGGCGAGTCTACCGGGTGAACCTGCCAACGGAGAATCGAACGGTAATCGAATCATTTCTACCGTTCCTGGTGGTGGTAGAAGCGGAGGAACTGACGCGTGTAAGATCGCGCTCGAGTTGGGAGATAGAAAGAGCGGGGTGTGGGAGTAGGAAGAAGAGCCGGCTGGCTCGGTATCGGCTAATTGGATAGCCAGGGCCTGTCGCTAGAGGAAAACGAGCTAGCCAGAAAGAGAGGACTTGTTCGGTCGCTCCGCCACCCACTCTACCAGCTCTCATCTCGACTCGAGAGGAGAACGAAGAGGAAAACGGGACGGATCTGTCCGGCGCGGCGCGGCGTGTCTGATATAGAAAATGTTTTCTCGAATCGAGATCGAGCGGAGATGGAATCGGTACTCACTTGATGCAACGCGGGAGATCTGGTCGGGCCGTGATTTCTCGGCGAGTTGCAGTTAGAGTCGAACCCCTTCTCCCCTTTCTTTCGGTCCTTCTTCTTTTTCGATCGCACGATATGCGCCTCCATCCAGGTGCGCAGTTTCGTCCCGAACATGATGCGCGGCGGCGGTGACGATCGGGAATCGCGTCGAAAATGAAAAGTTGCTCTCTGCTCGTTGGATCACGAGGACGGTGAGAACGGGTCCATTTCGCGAGTGAATCAGCCAACGATCGCGGCCTCTAGCTCGCCGCCGTTTCGCCGATTAGCGTGGAAAACCGGCGCGTCGTTCCTCCTCCTCCTCGCGCCATTCCTCGACGATGCGAGCCAACGGGTCTGAAACAGGCCAAGTAACACCAGCCACGTTTACACAGCGTAGCGGCAAACTTGAAATTCCGTCTGGTTCGCGTAAACGAGAAGCGATTAGTCAATCCCTAGGAGGCAACTCCCTCGCTTCGGTTCGCTTGGCTCGACCTGCATATGCACATAGTTGGATGATATCGATAGACGAACCGGAACCTACTATACGTAGCGGACAGGTATGTATCGCGTGAAGAAGAGACAAGAGACGACGAGAGACTCGTTTTGGAAGGGAAGGCGAAA